CACACACACACACTACCCTGACTCAAACTTCTGTCCTCACCTCTATCTTGGACATGACCACCCCACATTGTGGAGCTTCTGGTATCAGCTTTTGCATCCCTGGAAACCCATCCCCACCCTTCAGCAGTGCTGTCTTCTGACAAAGCTATTGTGGACAGAAAAACCTGAGTCGCTCCTTCTCAGCCTTGACCCAGCTCCCTGGATCAGAGCCACATGCCAGGCCCACCCTCCTTAACTCCACTGTGTTTCTGCTTCCACCAAGTGGAAGGACACTCGTCCTGCTGCCTGAGGTTCTTTCTGTTAAGTTTAGGCTATAATTAAAAATACTTGTTAACTCTTGGCAAATTTCTGGACTGCAAGCTTTAAGAAAAGAGATCAAATAAGTCTAGTTCACCCCCAAGATAAATGAGAAAGTACTAATTGATTCCTGCTTCTAGTTCACTCCCAGTTTCTTGCTTGACTAACTCCCTGGGAAATGAACCAACTGTCCCTGGACTGACCATTAGACAATACCAGGTGAAGAGAATACGAGACAAAGACGTATGAATACTAAGACAAAGATGTATGGAAAAGTACTGGAACTAAGATGTATAGGGGAAAATATTAAAACCAAGATGTATGACATAGCTAACCACAAAATTCTGCTTCTGTACGATGCTTTCCTGCTACCCCACCCAGATGCACCTGGACAGCCTGGGTACCAACCAGGATACAGAACAAGCCTTAAAAACTGACCCCCTGGCTCAGCGCCTGTGGCTTAAGTGAGGTGGCAGGTTTGAATCCAGCCCGAGCCTGCCAAAACAATGATGTCTGCCACCAAAAAATAGCCAGGTATTGTGTGGGCGCCTGTGGTCCCACCTACTTGGGAGGCTGAGGCACAGGAGACTTGCTTGAGCCCAGGAGTTGGAGGTTGCTGTGAGCTGTGATGCAACAGCACTCTACCCAGGGGGACAGCTTGAGGCTCTGTCTCAAAGGAAAAAAAAAAAAACCCAACCCCTTGGCTTGGCTTGGCGCCTGTGGCTCAAGTGGCTAAGGTACCAGCCATATACAACTGAGCTGGCAGGTTTGAATCCAGCCTGGACTTGCCAAACAACAATGACGACTGCAACCAAAAAATAGCCGGGTGTTGTGGTGGACGCCTGTAGTCACAGCTACTTGGGAGGCTGAAGCAAGAGAATCGCTTGAGCCAGGAGTTGGAGGTTGCTGTGAGTTGTGATGCCATGGCACTCTACCCAGGGTTGACAGCTTGAGGCTCGGTCTCAAAACAAACAAAAACAAACAAAAACCTGACCCCTTCTAGGGCTGCTCTCAGAAACCCCTCGTTGGGACACTGAGGCAGTCACTGACTGGCTCCTGAATAAAGAGACTGCCTTACAAATTCAGCTTGTCTAGTTGTGTGGTCTCTGGGGAACTCCTGGCCACAACTCTTCAAGGCACCTGGGCTGTATTTCTTCCTGATGGCAATATTCATGGAGCAGAATCCAACCCCCGACTAGGTCAGCAACCATGGGAGAACACAAGAATCTGTATTTTTCTACAAGAAAAGTGCTGGGAGTGGGCAGGGCAGCACATGCGCAGAAGGAACGGGAGAGGTTCTTACCTTGGTCCTGTGCTAGAGTCACCATAAAGGTCCCACAAGGCTTCACTAGCAAGAGAGGTAGTGTTTACTTCCGGGTGTTGTCCTGCAGCCTCTAGACCAAGACCAGATGTATACCCATGTGACACAGTGGGTGTATTTGGCTTCTCCATGGAATCCTAGATTGGCAACCTGTGGGACGAATGGGGAAATTCAAATGTGGGCCAGTTGGTGATATTAATAACTTTTTTAAAAAGTTCTGACATAGATATTTAGAACCCATGTCTATTTATAAATTGATGCATTCTAAAACTTGGAAAACTCATGTCTCTATTTTACTTTAAGTTTGTTAACAAAAAAAATGTTAACTCTCTTTGAACCTAATAAAGGGTGTTTGTTTTCACCTAGTAAGTTGTCTGTCTTGCATAGATTCTGTTACTCATAGAAACATTGTTCTAGTATATATAGTAGAATAAAATAACCGAGTCATAGGGTGGGTGCCCTCCAGAGTTCTTGTGCCAGTTTACACATGTAGGGTCAGATAATTATTTCTCAAGTCTTTCATAATTGGAGGTAGGAAGTGATGGATTTCCAATTTCCCTTTCCTTCCCTGGTGTCTGCCACATCCTAGGTAAGAAGTTCCATACAGGTTTTCTCAAGGCTCTGGCCACACTGCTATTGCTTTTTGAACAGAGAAATGCTGGGAACTGAGTCATCCAAGTTGTGGATGGCAGGGATGAGGTGAAAAGGGTGTGAAGTTTGGAGGAGGGTGGATGGGGTGTGAGAGACTATTCTTTCTCAGGAACTAACCCTGGTTTTATGGTCTCTAATGCATGCTGTGCCTTGTTCAAATTCCTATCATCTTTGATTCTAAAATTTCCTCTCAATGACCCTGAACATTTCCTCTCAATGTTCCGTAAATTTAGGGAACTCAGCCTCTTGGAAACCTCAATCTTCCAAGCGCCTTTTGCCTCAGAATTAGAATATCTAGCTTCCCATCCTCAGATGTCTGGATCCCAGGACTCTCTCTTTCTTTCTTTTTTTATGATATAGAATCTTACTTTGTCACTCTCAGTGGAGTACTGTGGCATCATAGCTCACAGCAACTTCAAACTCTTGGGCCTATGTGGTTTTCTTGCCTCAGTCTCCTGAGTAGCCGGGACTACAGGCACCAGCCACAACCTCTGGCTATTTTTACAGATGAGGGTCTCGCTCTGGCTCATGCTGGTCTTGAGCCTGTGAGTCTAGGGCAATC